CCTGGGCCTCCCCCACCCCCTGCAGCCATGGTCCTGGTGCTCTCCCATCCCCTGCAGCCACGGTCCTGGTGCTGTCCCATCAACTCCAGCCATGTTCCTGGTGCTCTCCTATCCCTTACATCCATGTCTCTTGAGCTTGCCCATCCCCTGATGAGGCAAAGGGGTGCTTGGGGGGTCCTGTACCCCTTTTAGAGCTGGATCAAGGGCTTTCAAAGCGACTCCAAGGCCTCCTTTCCTTCGGGACACCCTTGGCTTTGGCTCATCTGGGCCCCTGCGGCCTGCCCAGGTGTTGTGGTTCCCCCTCCAGCAAAGGGACACCCTCCCTGTGGCTGGGCTCACAGCACCCTAAATCCTGGGGCCCCATGGCCGAAGCAGGACTCACCTGAACCTCTCCTGCCCAGCCGTGTCCCAGAACTGCAGCTTCACCCTCAGCCCCGGCTCCAGCTCCACAAACTGGACGTAGAAATCCACCCCGACTGTCTGGTTGATGGCATCCAGGAAGAGGCCCTCCGTGTAGCGCCGCAGCAGCGAGGACTTGCCCACCGTGGAGTCCCCCAACATGATCACCCGGAACTGGAACTGCCACCGCGGCTCCATCGGCACCTCCAGCCCCACGCCGGCAGCGGGTGCAGGCAAAATCCACCCAGGAGGCGTTCCCGGCCTGACATGGGTGGCCCCTTTGGAGCCCCTTTTATCCTGGCTCCATCCACATGGATTCACCCAGGGGGGAGCCTGGTCCTGTTTTTCCTGTTGAGTGACAGACATTGAGGGGGTGACACTTCACCAGCGACACCCCCGAAGCAGAGCATCCCCCATGGCTCAGCCTGGAGAAGAGAAGGCTCCTGAAGGGGAGACCTTAGAGCAGCTCCAGTGCCTAAAGGGGCTACAGGAAACCTGGAGAGGGGCTTTGGACAAGGGATGGAGGGACAGGACAAGGGCAATGGCTTGAACCTGCCAGAGAGGAGACTGAGATGAGCTCTGAGGCAGAAGCTCTTCCCTGTGAGGGTGCTGAGGCGCTGGCACAGAGTGCCCAGAGAAGCTGTGGCTGCCCCATCCCTGGCAGTGTTCAAGGCCAGCTTGGACACAGGGGCTTGGAGCAACCTGCTCTAGTGGAAGGTGTCCCTGCCCGTGGCAGGGGTTGGAGCTGGAGGAGATTTAAGGTCCTTTCCACCATAACCCAGGCTCTGACTGTGCCACGGGTTGAGTCTTGGTGTGTCCCAGCGCTCAGAGCAGCCTTTATTTAGTGTGGAAAAGCCTCGTTTATTAAACCCACTCCTGTAGGGAAGTGTCAGTTATTCAAAGCTCCAAAATTAAGGCTTTAAACAACCCTTGCAGGGACACAGCCCCAGGGCTGGGTGCTGGGCACAGCACAGGGAGGTTTGGGGGTCACCTCAGCACCCTGACAGCCCCTTCCCTTGGGGAGTTCTGGGTCCCAGCTCCTGTTCAGTGTCCCCCAGCTAGACCTGTGGGGTGCCACAGAGGCTCTGGGGTCCCTCCATCCCCTGACAACCCAGAGTGGAGCAGGGATGGGGCAGCACCCATGGGTGGGTGTTGATGGGGCTGTATTTGTGTCCTTGTCCCCATCTCACCTGAACCTCTCCTGCCCCAGAGCTGCAGCTTGTCCCTTGTTCCCCCCCTGCAGCACCTTCCCTGGGGACAGAGACAGCTCCAGCCTCACAGTCACCCGGATGGACAATCCAACTGTCCCCAGAAGCCACCAGGTCCCTCCTTGTCCTCAGGATGGTGCCTGGTGCCATCACAGGCCAGCTCTGTAGGTGTAGGAACTCACTGCAGAGGGGCTGGTGCTCCCAAGGAACCAAAATCCCAGGAGAACTGGAGGGAAAGGGGCTCTCGTGTCCCCCTGTGAGGGCTGCATGGAGATGGGGAATAACTCACTCCCTCCAACAGCTCTGGGGCTCCTCACCCCCTTTGTTCTCTATCCTAAGAGAACGGGTTAACTTGGTCACCAGGGCTCCAGCCGATGTTGGCAACGTTGGAAGGTGTCACCTTTGTCCCTGCAGGAGCCATTCCAGGCACCTCCATGTCCAGCCACCAACAGGAACCCACCTCGAAGGATCAGGTGGAAGAAACCACTGGGATTTAGGGCTCATCCCAGCAGGATGCAGGTGCCCCAGGCACAGGCACCAGCACAGCCCCACGCATCCCAAGCCCCAGCACAGGGGACACAGCCTGAGTTTCAAGTGATAGTGTTTATTCACCCTCCAACATTCCATACCCAGACCCTCCTCCAAGCTCTTCTCCTTGGAAACTCCACAGTCCTTCCACACAGGGTTGCAGCAGGAGTCAAATAAGGTCCCTCCTGCCGAGGTGCAGTGAATGGAGCTCAGGAAGGAACCAGGATGTGGCTATGCAGAACTCCTGCACTGCCAGCCTCGGGGACCAGCTCACCTCAGCTCCGGGCAGACCTGAGGAGGGGGTAACAGGTAACTCAGGTCAGTGAAGGGCAGCAGCTCCAGATGTCACACAATTCCCATCTATCCCCTCTGCCCACGCTGGGTTTGGCTCCTTCATGCCTGGCCTCAGCCCCATATCCGCAGGACTCATCCAGCAGTCTCCAAAGGAAGGATCATCACAGACCAGGCTGTACCCAGAGGGCTGCCCGCTTAAAACCCTCGCTCCTGAAGCCCGTCATTCCCAGATGAAGGACTGGCCACTTCCAGCACAGGCAGCTTGAACCATCCCTTCCTCCCCCAGGACTGGCAAGATCCCACTCAACCCACCAGGAATTACCCACTCGGGACACTCACCCAATTCCATGTCAGCTTTCCATGATCCAGGCCCTAACAAGGGCCGGATGGGGGCTCAGCAGCTCTTCTCCACCAAGTAATTCCTGAAACACCAGCCCCAGGCGAGGATCTGAAGCCGGTGGGTTGCTGTACACCAGGAACTGCTGCATCAGATCCAGCCCAGGTAAACCCCAGCCTGCAAATCCTCAAGCTGTGCCCAACGTTTATCCATGCTCACTCCCACCCCAGCCTTCCCAAAGGAACACCAGCAGGGGCTGTCTTCCGACCGGCCCCTCTCCCTGCAGCACTGCACCAGCAGAGGCTGAGACTAGTCTGAATGTTGCTTTTCCTCCTTTTTCGACCATGAGACCGGTATTCAGATCTGATGGGAAAGGGATCTGGAGGGATGGGAAGGAGCTCGGAATGAGGGCCTCACATTCTCACCTCAGCTCTACCTGCAGGCAGGTCATGGCCATCGTCTCAGCAACCCAACGACCCTGGAAGACCCACAAGACCCCCCAAAATCAGGAGCAGGCTGCAGACTGATGGGTACATCCCACTGATACACCACACAGAAACCCCCCAACCTCCTGGAAGTCTATAGGAGGGGCGAGTGACAGCAACAGGCAGGAGAGGCCCAGCAGTCAAAGACCTTCCATTGCTCTGGCATGTTGTTGGAGACCTGCAGCTATTGTACAGAGCCACAGCTCTTGGATGAACATGCACCGGCAGCACCGAGCTCCCAGCAAAGGCTGGCAATGGCTCAGAGCAGCAGCAGGAGTGACCCACCACGTCTGGTTCCTGGTTCTGCCACAGTAATGCCAGGGAGAGAGGTCCCTTTATCCCATCCATGCATGACATGGGCAGAGCAAGAAACAAAGGGAGTCCACAGCTTTTCATGCCTGATACTAGGAACAGGGAATCCCTGTCTGCAGGGGCTAAGCCCAAGCATGAGCTTGTGGAGGATCCACAGCCCCTGGAGCGAGCCCCACGCTGGCACTACCTGCTGCTCAGGCCAAGGGAGGCCATGAAGGCAACCACATTCCCAGCAGAAGGGGAGCCTCCAGAGCCTGGATCACACATCTCACCTGTCCAACGCTGAGCCCGGCACCAACCATCCCATGCCCTGGGATCACCTTCCATGCTGGGATGCTGCTGGGGAAGAAGAGAGTCTTGAGCATCACAAAGATGACAGAGGGACCTTAAAGCTCCTCCAGCTCCAGC